GTGTTGGAATATGCAAGCTTGGTACTGGTACAAATAACCATCTTTTCAAAGATATCTGGCAGACTTTGACTTGAAGCTGTCATTAGTAGGATATTGCATATAATTTTTCTTTTAACTTTAGTTTCTTTTTATATATATTATTTTTCAATTAAAAAACAAATATATAATAGAATTACAATATTGTAACTGCATAAATTAATGTTATAAACAATTATTTAGATATATTGCACTGAAAATTGCTCATTTTGGTGAAAAAGTTTTAATAAATTAAATATTTTCCTATACAATGATGTTATAAAATATTAGTCAGTGTAAGTTTACTTTTGCCCTTATTCCTCTAACTGTACACGCTTTCTAATCTTTCTACATTCGGGGAAATACCACTTTCCTTTTGGCTTCCTTTTTAAGCCAACACTCTTGAAATGGAACCATTGTATCTTACAAGTACCAAAATCACATGCAATCAGTGTGTTGTTAACCTTTTTCCTGCAATTAGCACCACATATCATCGATTTCTTCAACATGCTCATCATTCTCTGCAGCACTTTCTACTGAAAGCAGGGCTCGTGAATAAAATTTCCCAATTAACTCTGGTAGAATGCACTGCTTAACAAATTCAGAGGCTCGCTTTATATTTTCTTTCATGAAATTTTCATCATATTCAATTCTCTCAATATGGATGTCAGTTTCCGTCCATACTACAAAGTCAGAGAAGGCTAATGAACAACAGTTCATTTGGCATTGAACCTGGTAATAGTACGAATGTGTTTTGTTCAGTTGAAACTGTCCTTGCTCAACTGGCTTAAACCAGGAAAGTCCACTGTCACCAGCTTCAAGATTTTTGTTTCTAATGCAGTAAGGCTATTTAATTTCTAGGCAACATTTGCAAGAAATTAGCCCATCAGGTGTTGCTCCAATAAATGGGTATGTAGTGTCAATAACAACCACGCTCGGATATCTCAAATTCTGTATGTTTTTGAATTATTATCCTTGGATACTGATCACGGGCCATCTTCTCATGATTGCAACCCCAAACAGTTCCCAGCTAGCAAGCGACGTTGACCCAACGTTGGTTGAAGACAAAGGTTGGCCAGACGGCCGTATTTCCATCGGCCCAACCTGGATTCAGCTTGTTAGAAAGACGTCGGCTCGACTAGTTGGATCTACGTTGGCCCGATAATGTTTGTGCAACGTCGTCCAATCACGTTGGCCCAACGTACCTTTCTGATGTTGCCTAGACGTTCGCTTTTCCATCGGGCCAACGTCGATTCAGCCAGTTGCAAAGACGTCTATCCGACTAGTTGGATCAACGTCGGGCCGACG